CTGATTTTATGTTCTGGATTGGAGCTGACTCAGGTTCTCTCCATTTGTTTGGGCCCAGGGCTCCCAAGTTGGTATGTTTAACTCTCCCTTATGCCCGAGACCCAAGGAGGGCTGGGACAACTTATTCCCCAGGGCCTCTTGATCCCGCCCATCATTTGTAGCCCATGCCACCACATTACACAATCCTTTCCTAATGTTCCCTGGGTTATAGAAGAGAACAGAAGACCGGAGTGTCACAGAGACTTGCACAAAGTTGGCTGAGGTCATACGCTGTGGGGAACTCTCTGAGAAGGATTTTTTAAGAGGTTATGGGTGACCAGAATCGGATACAATTGCAGGGCTTAGTGCAAAATGAGAATGTGGGGCCCCTTGTTTAAAGACTGTTATGAATGTCAAGATGGTAATAGCAGATCACAAAAACAAAGGCAGGGCCCTTCTGAGTGCAGGGCATGGTGCCCTGTGCAACTACACAGGTTGGATGTCCACAAAGCTGGCCCTGTAGGTGACCTTTGAGACCTTTGAACAGTTTCAGAAGCATGATGGGGGCCAGAATCAGATGATAAGATACCAAATGATGTCATTTCTGGGGCTATACTCACCACTGACTCATTCTTGTGACATAAACAGGGTATTTGCCCAAGGAATCAGATAAGACACATTTTATATACTTGGGCAGGAGAAGTGAAACATTTGTCTGGTGGTTGCTTGTTAGACCCAGGCACTGTGCCACTGACTACTTCAGTGTCCATTTTGGGATTGTGCCTGAATGTGGAATAGAAAGCATGTAGAACTCTATCCCCACCCCTGCACGATTCTTCTCTCACATTGGGCAGGGAGTTTAGCTAAGGCACAAGAGTTGAGCCTGGCTGTTGATGGAGAGAGTTATCTCCCTGTTAGACTAGGGCAGCTGCCAGAGTGAGACTGGGGTGCCCAGCACAGCAGCTGTAGGAGAAGCAGCAGTCTGTGCACAGAGGAGAGGCCATCTGGAGCATAGATGTGGTTAATTGAGGGTTGCTAAGTGCAGCGCTCAGTAAAGAAGGGAGAACGCTGGGGGTTGACAAGGTTGGAACAGAAATTCTTCTCTACCATTCATTCTGCTCCTATCCTTTGATGTAGTCTCAATTGTTTAATGCCCAGCTCTGTGCCTCTTAGGCACTGGGGATGAGAGAGAAGTAAAATGTCCCCCAGACAACAGGGGAAGATGGATGTGTGCACAAATACAGCTAGATGATGGCCTAGGGCAGGGCTCTAGCAGTGGTGTCTGCAGGACTCAGAGGAGCCCAGAGGACAAAGCAATGGACTCTGCCTGGGCAGCTGGGGAAGGCTTCACAAGAAAGGCAACAGGTGAGCTAGGCCTTGAGGGATGAAGAGGAGTCTATCGGATGGAAGAGGATCAGAGGAAAAGCATTATAGGTGGAGACAAGAGCGAGAAAGAGCAAAGTGTTCTGAGAATGGAGCTCAGTGTGGCTGTAGTCTGGGATATGTGGTTGAGTTACCTCCTGCAGCTAACATTTATCGAGAATCATCTATGTGCAGGAAATACAGCTATGAGTAAGACATGAAGCAAGCACTCTAGCAAGAGAAGTGGATGTGTAACAGATAAACACTGCACCCTCAGGGCAGGATAGAAATCTTTACAAGGAACCTGTGGAAACGTGAGGGACACACAGGACAGAGGTGTGGCCAGGAATCACTTTTTGGGAGAAATGTCGCTTCCCAGCTGTGTGACCTTGGGCAAAATATTTAAACTCTCTACAGCAGTTTCCTTATTTGTAAAGTGGGAATAATAAAAATACCTACTTTGCAAAGCTATTTTAAAGATTAGAAGAGTTTATACATGTAAAGCCTTTGTCCAGTACCTGGAACACAGCAAACACTAAATAATGTTAGCTGTGACTGTTACTGAAGGAGGAGTTGGCATCAGGCAGGGGAATAGGGTGACCTGGGGCAGTGGCCACCCAGAATTTCCAGAGAGGCGGGGTCTACAAGGGGTAGTAATGCAATTGGAAGGGCGCCAAAGGATCTTTTCTGAAAGCTACTGTTTTTATGTCATTGCCCTTTTGATCTATACTATTTATGGATTATTTTTTAAAGTGCTTTTTTTCCTCCATGTGAGAAAATATAAATTATCTATATACAAAAAAAAAATGCAGACTGAGGAGTTCCTAAAGAACAGCTCTGCTCTTGGTTCCCAGACGAAGGTTCCAGCTCCCGGGCATTGGCTCTGGCCCTGGAGGCTCTGGCCTCTCAGCCTGTTTCCTCTGTAGCCCAAAATAGCCAACCAACCGCAGGGCTGGGCAAAGGGAGGAAAACGGAGTGCCCACTGGCAATGCTGCCATTCCTGCACCCCCTCCTTGTGTCCCACCAGCTCAGTGGCTCTCACTCAGTGTTTCTCCACTCCCTGCTGCTGCCACCCACTCCCCGCTGCTGCCACCACACGCCTGGGATGGCCCCTACTCAAGCAAAACACAAATGCCAACAAATAAACAGGTTTTTTTTCTTCCTTGCACTTGCTCTGGGAGTGCCTGCAACACCTCCCCTCAGGAAAGAGCAGGGAGAGGGATGTGGGAGGGGAGAGGAGGAGGGTTGGTGGAACAGGTATGAATTGGAGGGGAGTAGGGGATAATAAGAGTGGAGGGGTGCCAATCTTTCCCCCAGGGGTAGAGGGAAGGGGCTCATTTCTTATACTCCCCCCCTCACTTCCCAACACTGCCATCACCCCTGAAATGTGTTCCCAGTTTATCTCCCACCCATGTTTGCTATCTCTGTCCACATGGTGCTATCTATGGCAAGCAGAGTCCTCGCCACCAGATAGATGTCAACACCCCAGGGCTGGGGGATACTGCTCACTCAGCGGACTAAGGTGCTTGCAGAGGGCAGGGAGAGTCCATGAAGGTGGCTTATTATGTTTTCAGAACACAAATACATTTTATAAAGAATTTAAAACTAATAACTCACATTACACAAAGTTTGAAACTAGAGAATGAAAAAGATCACTCCAAACCCCTCCATCCTAACACAAGACCTGTTTTCATTTTGTTGAATTTCCACAGCCTAGTTAAATAGATGCCCAAATATTCAAATGTAGAATGTGTTAATCAAAGGTGACAGATACAGAGCACTTACTCTATGCCAGGAATTGTTCTAAGTGCTTCACATTTATTGACCCAGTTCATCTTCACAACAACATGAGGTGGGTAGTATCATGATCATCACCATCTCCATTTGGAAATGAGGTAACTGAAGCACAGAGAGGTTCAGGGACTAGCCTAAGGCCACACAGCTGGCAACTATAGGAGCTGGGAGTTGAACCTTGGCAGACTGGTGCCAGGATCTTACCAGTGTTGCTTTATTTTTTTAAAATCATAAGTGTTAATGCATATGCAAGTTTATAAAACTTATTATGAACAATTTCAAACATAAAAAAGTAGGGAAAATAATATGAGGAATCTCATGTCCCTTCTCTCATTATCAATAATCATCACCTCACGGCCCATCTTGTTTCTTTTATTTCCCCATGTCCCCAGCCCAGATTATTTTGAAGCAAATCCAGTCATCATAATTGCAGCCACATATATTTTAGTCTATATCTCCAAAGGAGATATAGACTTTTTTATTTAAAAAGTTACCACAATATTATATCATGCCTTAAAAATTATATTTCATAAATACCATCAATTCAAATCGTCCATATTAAAATTTTCCTGGAATTTAATAAAATCTTTTTTAAAAAAAGTTGATTTGCTTGAATCAGGAATCAAACATGGTGTTTGGTTGATATATTACTTAATTTATTTTAATCTATAAGTCTCTCCCTCTCCTTTTTTCTTACAATTTATTTATTAAGGAATGTTTGTTCTTTCTAGATTTTGCTGACTGCAGCCCTGGAGAATGCTCATACTATTTTTTTCCTCATCTTTTCATTATCACCTAGCAAACGTTTTCCCACACCGCCACATAGTTTTCGCAACCATTTACTATATGGCTTCAAACTATTCCAGCTAATAGACCATAATATTTTTCTTGGATATTTAGGTTGCTTTTGATTTTCCACTATTATAAATAATGCTGGAATGAACATCCTCACACATAGTATGTAGGATGTACCTCCTGAGAATATGCTACCAGAAATATAATCATGGCTCTGAGGCCTGACTGATTTTTCAGCCTCTTGGCACATATTACCAATTGTTTGTCCAAGAGGCAATGCCTTCCCTAGCATCACATTAGAGTGCTGTCACTCATTCTGAATAGTACTTAGGCCTTTTTATGGGTGAAGGGTGTTTAGTGAAGACATGCTAATTATGAAGGCAGAGAACGAGAGAAGGAGAAGGATGATGACAGGGACTCAGGCTAAATTAAGCAGAAAGTGATCCACAAACCTAGAGTGAGTCAGAATTCTGTTCATTCCCATTGTGAAAAAAAAAACCAAACTTGATAACAGGAGTTATTAATAGGGCATGACCCGTCCAATAATCTTTCTGTTAGACTACGCATTAGTCAGAACCTTATCTGCAACCCCAGAGTGGGTCAGTGAACTTCACAGAGATGTGGGGAAACTAGAAAAGATCCAGACAGCTCTATCATCTTGATGAAGAATGGAAGAATCCCAGAGAGAAGTCAAAGACTCAAGCAGCTTCACTTTGGAAAACTAGAGACATCTTTTTTTGACTAAATGGTGGGGAGGTTTCTGTGGGAAGGAAAACATTCAGTTATTTGCTTATGTCTTTAGAAGCCTGACTATAAGGAAAGGGGCCTCCACAAACCAGGAGAAGCTTCTATAAAACACAAGACAGAACTTTTTCAGACTCTGGGGCAATTATTTAGGTATTAGGATGAGCACTGTTGGCCCACTGGCCCTGGAAATATTCAAGAAGCTGTTTGTTTTCCTGCTCCGAGTGGTTCAGATATCCACCTACTTGGTGCTCACAAGGTGCCTCCCTGGGCCCCACTCGTTTTGCGACATCTATTTCCTGGCAGCCCTCTGGGGAGGGGTGGGAGAGGTCTGAAAGAAGTATTCCCCTAGCTCCCTGGGCCAGCCTTCTCTCTGTCCCCTCACATTCATTTGTTATGATTACTGCCAATCATGTTGGCATGTCATGACATCATCTGATCCTGCTAGTCCAGCCTTGCTGTGCACAGAGTGGACTTAGAAAGAAGCTGGGTAGGGCCAGTGGAAACTACTCAAACAAGGGCCTCTTGGTGACATGAAGAGTGGGAGTGACCCAGGAGACCTCAAGAGCCATTTAGTGCAACCTTCTACAGAAATAGCTTCCTACAATGCAACAGGTGCTTTACATATTCTTTTGAATTTGCACAACCTTGGAGGTAGGGTTTCACAGGTGTGGAATTGGAGATTAAGACATGTTATCTGCCCAATGTCAGGCAGCTGGGAAAGGAGTGCCAGCCCCCCCCCCCCACGGCAGTAATATCTGTGCCCTTACTTTTAGAGCATACAGACTTGAAAACTGCAGATGGGAGAGGCGGAGCCTCCCCACCCAAAGCCACACAAGCCAATTTAGGACTGGAAATCAGGGCCCTAACTATTCATCAAGGAATCTTCCCAAGACATGTGTTCTCTTCTGATGTTTAATGTGGGGAGGCCAAGGATGTGGAATGACCCAGGCCAGCCTGGGTCTGGTGGGACTGAGGAGTAGAGAGGCTCTGGACAAAGGCTGCCCACAGGCTCCATTCTCTGCCCTCCAGAATCTCATCCTAACCAAAGTAGTGAAACACCCTCTTCCAGGAGGGTCCAGAGGGGCAAAAGTCTGGGCGCCTTTGTTTCTGGAGGAGCCAATCTGAGGCCAAGGTGGAGCCAGCGAGGTATAATTAAAACTGACCTGAGGTCAAATTCTGGGTTCTGGCCCAGGTGGGACCCAGCAGGAACCTACAGCAAGTTAAAACTCAGAGTTTCCTCATCTGCAAAAGTGGGCACGTGTAAACCGCAAATGCAGTTGTTACGCACCAAAGCAGTACCATCTGATCTTAGTATTGTTGTGGCCACCAGCCCCCGAAAGACACACGGACCACCAGAAATCAGTGAGTTATAGGAAACACGCTCTTTATTCAGCCAGCTGGGTCTGCCAGGGGTACGCAGACCCCAAATTGAGCAGCCCCGAAATGTAGAGGTACAGGGTTTTTAAGCCCTAAATCCCATTCCTCATTGTGTCTTAAACACAAAGGTCTATTTTTCTCCTATTCACTACCTGTCAACCTACAGGTCAGGTGTGCAAGCTGGGATACAGAGGCAGAAAGCTTATTGTTAGAATGTTATGTTCCAATGGGCGATAGCCTATGTTCCCATGGGCGATAGCCAAGCAGTAATTTTCCAGCCAGCACAGTATCGTATCCTAGTGAAACGACCGTGGAGCGCAGCTAGGTCTGGGGGTAAGGTAGGGATTGGGGGAAGGGGGCGGGGAGGGCAGGGTCCGACTACAAGTCCCAGGAGGCCTCGGGCGGGTCTGAGCGCGATCAGGGGGAGAAAATACAACTCCCAGGAGGCAGCCGGCAGGCGGGCGCTGGGCGGTGACGTCACGGGGGCCGGCGCAGGGCGCTGATTCGGTCGCAGCTGCCAGCGGGGTGGCTGCCCAGGCGGCTTGTTACAGCTGCTTTAGCAGCAGCGGCCCCCGCCCCCGGGCACCCATCTCGGGCCCTCGAGGGCCTTCGACCTCCCGGCCTGCACGGTGAGTCCGGACGGTCAGCCTTGGGGTGGCGGAACCGGGAGGCTCCTGGGGCTAGAGGCGGGGCGAAAAAGGAGGTGGGGGCTGCGGAGGAGGCGCCCCGGGCTGGGGGACACCCGGGCAGGGTGAGCGGATGTATGAGGGGGGTGCAGCCGCCGAAGGGATGCTCAAGAGGGAAAGAAAGGATGGGCTTCGGGGATGAAGGTTTGGCCGCTTCCAGGGCTGAGTGAACGCGTGGAGGTGGGGGCGGGGCTCCGGACCTATGAGATCCCAAGCTGGGAAGCGGAGTGGGAGGCCTGTCTTCGGCTTGAGGTCCCACTCAGAAAACCCCCAAAATAGTGAGGACTCCTCGTCTTCGCTTCACCTTTTCCCCGGGCTAGTGGGGATTCTCCCTAGTTCTCCATATTCACTGCCCTCCCGGCAGGGCCAGAGCTGAGAGGTGAGCTCCTGTGGCCGTGCGGGTTGCGGGGTGTGCGGAGTGAAAGTGGCATTGTGGCGTGTTGCCAGGTACTCCCCGTTGGGGTCTAGTTGCAAGCTTGGATGTCTTGTGCGCCTCATCCAGAAGGCAAAAGGTTTGCCACTGAAAGGGCTGCCCTTATTTGGGGGGACAGAATGGGAATCGCTCACCTGGCAGCTGCCTTGGGACGCAGGGTGGTCTTTGTTGACATGCCTGACAGGCTGGGTAGGGATATTTGTGTGTGGAGCCAGGGGGAAGGAGAGGAGTAGGAAAGCTACCAGCAAGAAAGTAGTTAACAGCAGAGTTGCTGCAGGCTCTGGTTTGAGGCAGGTTATGAAACCACATCTGGCACTGGCACTGGTACGGGCAGCCACCTGCCAGCTATGGCCTCAGAACTTTTCAGCCTCAGCTTCTGTAGACTTGTTCCACCTCTGCCAGCTGCTTCTCCCCATTTCTCCCCTTCTGGGCAAGGGGCAATTGGTTATTTTACTAATGGAAATGCTATGTACCCTTAGTCACACAAAAGTCTCAAAAGTGCTTCCTGGCTGCCAGTCTTTTTCTTAGTTTATTGATCCTGTCTTTTTTTTTGGTGGGGGGGTTGCCTCCTGGGATTTCTGCTCTCAGGGAAGATAGCATTCATGCTTTCAGAAGCTGCTTCACAGGGTGTCAGGTCCTAGGTCTAGGCCCCTCCTAGTCTCATCAGGCTTCATTGGATGCCCTGTTTCATCCAGAAAGGAGTGTAGGGTGGTCTGGGATTCAGCAGCGTTCTTGGCACTTCTGGGCAAAATACCAGGGAGGGCTAGAAGTCTAGTGGAGAGGAGCAGCAGAATCTGGTCAGACTTGAGGAACTGTTTCTCTCCGCTTAGTCGTCCTCACTTCCTAGCCAGCCCTCCTCCCCCGCCAGGTGGAGGCTTTTGCGTAGTAGGTGTCCCAGGAGCTGTGTTAGCATAACAACCCAAAGCCCCTGGGAAGGTAAACAACTGAGCCAGTCCTGGTTTTCTAGTTCCCTGGGTTTCTGCTGGGCCCAATTATCCACCCAAATGGGCTGAGCTGGTGGGCCCAGGAGCTTTGCATCTTCTAGGATGCATCCTAGGTTGTCTCAAGAATGTTTACATGTTGGGAAGGTGTGTCGTGTGTCACGTTTCCCCTTAGGTCTCTAAACTTGGAGCTGTCTGAGAAGAGGAAAGTTGTTCCCATTATCCTGGAAGTGAAGAACTGATCCTTGAGAATTCTGGCTCCTATGCAGGCTTGGCTGTGGTCCTAGCCAGAGATAGATAGCAACTGAGTCTGAGAGGGTTCGTCGTAGCAGGGTGAGGGAGGTGGTCTTCTGGGCACTTCCAGGATATTCCCATCTGGGACCTCTTTCTGCTGCATCCCGGGAAAGATGGAGCTGATACCATGGTGATGCCCTTAGAGTCTATCAGGCAGGACCTTCCCTCAGCTTAGGAGGTGAGTCAGTACAAACATACCATCTGTTCCCACCTCCTCCTGGTCACAGGGCCCTCAGGGGGCTGGGGACAGCTGAGCTTTGGACAAGGGGGCTGCTCATTCCTCTCCTTACCTGCATCCAGGAATGCAACTGGCATGCATTGTTTCCTGGGCATCAAGGGCAGCCCTCTGATTCCTCCTGGTGCATGCTTCTGTCATTGGAGTGGACAAGGGAAGGCATGGTGCTGCTTACACCTAGAAACAGATGCTGAGAATGGAGGCCGGGGTGAGGATGGGTGGAGCAGAGAGGAAAGGGGGCAGGAGAGAGTCTGCAGGTGTGATTCTGATTCTTCAGGAGGGGTATGTTGGTGTGGGTTCCATCTACCTTTGGAGCTATAGTTGTTGGCCATGTTCTCTGTCCTCGCCTCTCTGGTGGGGAAAAGGGCCCTGTTGGTTTGGCAGCAGAGTGGGTGGCATCACGAGGGTTAGCCTGGATGGCTGCCGAATGGGTAAAACATCTGTATGGGTTGTTTTGTGTCACCAAAAAGGAGGCTTCTAGGTCTGGGCAAAGGTTATCCCTAGTCTGTTTTCTCTTCCCTCCCTCTCTCTTTTTACCCTGTCAGTCCTCCTGGGTCAGGGTTAGGGGAGACCCAGGACTGAAAAATTCGGGGAGATGGGTAGAAGGAGTGACCCCCCCAAATATTTCATTCACTCCTGTCCTTGCAGGCCCTACCTCCTTTTGTTTCTTCTGACGGGGAAGGTAAGGAAGGGAAAGAAATGTCCCCCATCAGTGAGACAGCCAGCAGGGGTTATGCCGAGTGATTCTTGGGGATGGGCCTCTTCTCTCCTCCTCTGGGCTTCCTGGGAAAAGAGCCCTCATGGGATTGCTCTGGAGAATGAGACTGAAGGAGGGGCAGAGGTTTCTTTGTACTGGGGCTGAATGCTTCTTGATGACCTGTCTACCCAGGCAGCCTTCCTGGAAAGGCATGGTCCTGTTGTATGAGGCAACCTGGTGTTTATCCCAACTCAGCATTGGGAAATGAATAGAGTTAAGTCCACATGGACCTTCTCTGGCCTCTTTGTTTGTGACTCAAAACAGTAGAACTGCCTGGAGTTCTTGGGGAGATCAGAGCCTTCCTCCCTCAGGATTTGGAGGGTGTGAGGGGGCAGGGAAAGTGGTGTGACCTGTCTCACCTGTGCTGCTTGTTTGCAGAACAGCAGCAGGAGAGGGGCAGCAGGATGAATGTGGGCACGGCACACAGCGAGGTGAACCCCAACACACGGGTGATGAACAGCCGCGGCATCTGGCTCTCCTATGTGCTGGCCATCGGGCTCCTCCACGTCGTGCTGCTCAGCATCCCCTTTGTGAGCGTCCCTGTCGTCTGGACCCTCACCAACCTCATCCACAACATGGTGAGGGCCTGCCTTCCGCTCTCCCCAGTGATATGGACTACTCTTTGGTGGGGCCGAGGAGTAGGAGGAGCCCTCAGACATGGGCCAGAAGTCAGGGTGACATGTGACGTGATAAAAACATCTGTCACTGGAGCCTAGACCCAGCTCTCATCTCTGCCCCACTCCCCCCTTCTGGGTTCCAACCCTGTGCACTCCAGTAAGAGGAATCAAATCTGCAGATTTGTCCACATCTCCAGGATGGGGTACCTTGTGGACCTGGAAGACGGTCCATTAAGAGCTGAACTAAGGTTCCAGAGAGTTCCCAGGACCCAGGTGCCTAGCCTGATGCAGAAATTCCCCTTTCCCAAATTAGGATCTCAAACTTTTTGACCCTCTGTGTTCCCTCACCACCTGGTTGCTACCTTGTTCACCTTTGCTGGGCAAGCAGGGGCCTAGTTCCTTTCCATCAGCTTGCCCCTTCCCAGTGGCACAGGGAGGCTCCCATGGGGCTGGAGGGCTGTGTCTCATGCTGGGCCTGCCCTCTCACCCAGCGGGTTCCCTTATTCTCCTGCCAGGCTCCCAGCTGCTTCATCCTGACCTCCAGATCACATGCCCCTGCCCAGCAGAGGGAGGCTCCAGATCACCTGGTGCCCACTTCTGTGACTGGGGTGGAGGAGCTGAGCTGTAGGGCCTTTTGCCTTTTGTGTCCTCTAATGAAGGGCCCTTCCTCCAGGGCATGTACATCTTCCTACATACGGTGAAGGGGACACCCTTCGAGACCCCGGACCAGGGCAAGGCGAGGTTGCTAACCCACTGGGAGCAGATGGACTACGGGGTCCAATTCACAGCGTCTCGGAAGTTCTTGACCATCACACCCATTGTGCTGTGAGTGCCTCGGGTAGAGGAGGACACTAGCAGGCAGGCCAAGGTCTGGGGGACCCTGGGGCCCCACCAGGCCTAAGCCCCTCCCCAGCTTAGCACTTGGCATAGGAATGAGGAGAGGAAGGGAAGTTGGAGTGTCCTTGATCATATGCTGGGCTCGGGCCTTGCACCTCCCTGGTCCTGTCTTTTCCTAACTGGGGCTTCCTTCCTGCCAGTGAGGTAGGCCCACAGGCCTGGGGTAAAGCAAGGGGACTGGGTTGGGAGGGGTCTTGCCACCTTCCTTCCGTTCTGAGGCCCTTTGCCACAACATCCCAGTGGTCGGGAATTTGCTTCTTCCTACTGGGGGTGAGGGAGGAAGGAGTCTTTCAAATAGAATCTTATATCTCTCCCGAACCTTCCCCACCAGGTACTTCCTCACCAGCTTCTATACTAAGTACGACCAGATCCATTTCATCCTCAACACTGTGTCCTTGATGAGTGTGCTCATCCCCAAGCTGCCCCAGCTCCATGGAGTCCGGATTTTTGGAATCAATAAGTACTGAGGGTACAGCCCCTTTCCCTGCCCAGATGGCAGGAGAGGGGTCAAAGCCTGTGCTGTGATGCTGAAGACAGAAGGATCCTCTGGATGCTGCCAGAGATGGGAGTTGAGCCTCTGGGCCCTAGTTTTCCCTCTCACTTCCCCAAGTAGCTGACTTGAAGTAGCTTGTAGTGGGGTTGGGGTGGCCCCCGCCTCCAGGCTCTGACCCTTCTGATTTTTTTGATCTTTTCCTTTTGCCTTTTGGATAGAGACTCTGGGGGTGGGGGTGGGAGGTGGCCATGGAATGGGCTGGGCTCCCAGGCTGAACACATCTGTGAGGTTGGGACAAGAGGCCAGGGAAACCCCCTGCTGACTTGCTCGTCTTCAGACCGCTAAAGCACTTTAACCTCACCAAGGGGCCGGTACAGCTTCTAGATCGTTTCATTTTAGTTCTGAAACCTTTAGGATGACCCTCAGTTTGTTTATGTGTGAAAGCCAGTGCGTGACGGTGCCTCATCCTTCTGGGTAGAGAACTGTCTAATCCAAGTCTCTTGCTTTTGGCAACTCCCCTCCAACCCATGCTGGGAAGTGGGGAGAAGTCAGGAGGGTAAGGAGAGGAATGGTGGGGCTGGGTGTGGGTGTCCTGGTCTCAGAGGTCAGGGGACCAGGGTTGCTGCCATCCTGCCCTGGTGGAGGCGGGGAGGGGATGGGAGAAGGTGTGGGGATGCTGAGTTGAGACTTAGAAGAAGGACATCACCTAGCAGCAGAGACTGGTGTCAGGGAGGGAGGGAGGGAGGGAGAGAGGGAGGGGAGGGACAGAAGCTAGACCCAACCTTATCCTTTGGGAAGTGGTCAGGGAGCAGGGGGCAGGCTCGGAGAGTTACTTCCCCCACAGCATGGTGTGAAGGGGTAGCGATGGGTGGAAGAGGCCTGTGAGTCATCGTAAGCACAGGTCCAGTTTGACACTGCCTTCTGCAGTGATGTGAGGGACATGGGGAAACTGGGAATGATGAATGGTGGGGCCCTTCTGCAGTCCTTCACCCCATAGCCTCCTTGTGCAGACTGACGCTGGGGCAGGGCCCCTTGTGTGGCATGCACACGTGGGGCTGTTGGGGCCACTCCCAAACGAGTCGGTGGGCTGCAGAGTCCTACACGGTCTCTGCTTGTGCAGGGCAGTGGAAGGAGCAAGGAGTGGCCTGCAAGCCCTGTCTCCTCACTGAAGAGAAGAGAGGTGGGGCAGGAGCCTGAGGTGTCGCCTTTTCCCTCCCATTCTGACTAGGGTCTGTGTTACCTTTGAGAAGGTGTGGGTGCCTGTGCCCTGCTCCAGGGCCCTGAGGGAGGAGGGGAGGGCATTGGCTCTGTTTTCTGCCTCCTGGTCCCCCCAACCCCCACCCATATATCATAGGGAACTTTCACCTCAAAATCTTTCTAAGCAAAGTGTGAATAGGATTTTTACTCCCTTTGTACAGTATTCTGAGAAACGTAAATAAAGGACAATGTGTTCTTGTTTCACCCTGAGTCTGGCCTCTGCTTCCTGAAGGGCCCTGGGGAAGGGGGCAAGGGTGTGGGCAGTGGCTCCTGCTGAGGGCAGTGTGGGAGCATCCGTTGGACCCTCTTGCCTGGATAGTGGGATGGACCCTGGGACTGCTGTTTTTCCTACTGTCCCCAGAGCAAGGAGACAGTGAAGGAACTGGAAGCAGCCTCAGAGAGCAGAATTCTGCTCTGTGACTTTGCCTGGCTGTTCCTCTGACAGGGCAGGCTGTGGACAGGGTGGCTGAGCCAGGCTGGGCTGGCAGAGAAATGGCTTGTGCCCTGGGAGGGGGTCAGTTCAGCAAAGGCTTTATAAATGAAGTCGAGAGTCCTGAGAGGTACTCATCCTTTTTCTCCGAATTCCTCCCCACTTTCTGACTTCTCTTCCCCGCAGTGTTCCCTCCTGGGAGGGCTGCATCTCCTCCTGGCCTTTCTGTCTTCGGAAGAGTCTTCATGCTTCCTCCTGTGAGTGGGAGGGGAAGAAGTGACCCCTCAGGCTGATTTAGGCTCAGGTGGCCAGAGAGGCAGGAGTCCTTTAGTGAAGTAACTCTTTGTCTCCAAGATTCCTGGCCTTTCAGCTTGTTCTGTGCAGTATCATCTGTTGTTCCCGGGACAAGTACAAAGTCCTGTATGGGAGGGAGGAGCTGCCCCCCCACAGCCAGGGCTCGTCTCTGGCCAGACTCCAGCATCACGATGACCTTGGAGTGGGTGTCAGGAAGAGTTCAGGATCTTTGCCCAAGTCCACCTCCCTCCTCCATTCCCTGTCTGCCCCTGAGTGAGGCCCACACAGCACTGGGAGAAATGCAGCCTGGGTCCTGGGGGCGGGGCTACCCTGGAAGCCTCCATGGACCTGAGAGTGCAGTCAGGTGAGGGGCTGGGACACAGCAACAATAATCTGGGTTCAAATCCTAGCTCTGTCACTTAACTAGCTTTGTGGTCGGTCAAGTCACTTCTCTGAGCTTCAGTTTCCTCCTCTGTTGTATAAGCATAATACCTCTCAGGGCCGTTGTGAGGATTAGCCAATGCCTAGCAAGTAGTCAATGCTGAACATGGTGGCCATATTTGTATTGCCGCTGTCACTACCTCCATCACCATCTCCTGAAATGTTCTTTTAGAATGGAAGGAGGCAGAGGCCAGAAGACAGACGGGGCTTGGGTGCTTATCTCTGACTGAGGGGTGGAGCCAGAGGTACTCATCTTTTTCACCTTCTCTGGAAAAAGGTGAGTGAGGAGGACAAGTGTTGGTGTCTTCCTGAGAGGGCCATATGGGAGCCTGTGGTAGGGAGCGAGGCTCAGTCTTCCTTACCAGCCCAGCCGGTCCATACAGGTGTTAGATACTGCTGCTCTCTGAGTCTTTAGTGCTGTCCACCATAGCATAGCATTTGGGTAGTTGGTTCCAGTGAGATCACTCTCATATCCTTGGTGCAGTGGGCACTTGGTACCTACCCATATTCTATTTCTCTATTCCAAACTCACTGGATTGCACAGCCCAGTGCGCCTCATTCTGCACCATTCTCTGGCCCAGACTCACCTACTCACTTTGTGTGTGTGTGCGTGTACATATACACATGTGTGTACATATACACATACACATACTGGATCCAAGATGTGGGAAGGGTTCTTTCCCCCGCCCCGCCCCTCACCAGGCCTGCCTTATCTGCCTCCAGCCATAATGTGGCTTATCTAAGGGCCTGAGAGGTGGGGCACCTAGCTCTACCCAACTTTCCGATTCCTTTCAATTCCTTATTATAGCTTCCTGAGACACTGGCCAGGCACTTCAGAGATCTTACAGAGGGGATTCTCACAATCTCCATTTCTGGTGAGTGGCTGAGGATGGGGGAGAGGTGGGTGGTACCTGAGATGGGCCTGTGGGCCTTGGGCACTGCCTTTCCAGACATCCAGAAGAATTCCTAGGACTGGAGTGAGTTGAGAGTTGGCTGCCATGATGAGGGCAGGCACAGAGAAGGGGGAGCATGGGTGAGTAGATGCCTGGACAAGCCAGAAGGGACTTAGGGGAAGGTGGCTAGAAGTAGGATGCGGATGCAAAACCCAAGAAGCTTGTGAGGGGAGGCCTGGCCACAGGAGAGAAGCAACAGAGCCTGAGAAAAGG